TCTCTATAATAAGGTTTGTGTTGGAGAATTTAGATATAACTGGTTAGCATTTGACGTCATCCAACGTCAAACCTAGGTCTTTTCCTGTATTCCTTTGTTTTAGTTTCAAAGGCCTTGGATCGAGTTCGGACGTCATCAAAATTGTAAATTCTGAATAGCTCACACCATAGAGCTGTTTCTTCACGAGTTCTTAATATTACTATTACTATTGCTCACCAATGTTTATCATGTCTGGAATGATCCCGAAGGTGCAATATACGAGCAACTGTCAGTACAGTTTTGCTGAGAATTTTCTTCAAACCGAACAAAACTTGTAGGCTTAAAAAGGGTTGTTAAAAATAAAAAAATAGCATTATGGCAGAAAGTTTATGTTTACTTCTCTGTTTTTTTTTTTCAGATTTCTGCAAGTGACGTGTGTGGATGTCCTCTGGTCATTAACGTCTTCGAGGAAACTGGAGATTTCTGTCGAGCTTCGAAAAGAAGGTGTTTAAAACATTACAGCTGGGAAAAACTTCGCAGAGCAGAGATTGATCTACAAAGAATACAACAGGTAGAGATGTGCTCTAGATGTGGCGGTGGCCTAATTGTTAGTGCGCTCCGTATCAAGCAGTCCTGGTTCGAGCCCTGTTCGGGGCCACTGTGTTATGTTCTTGGGTGACACCGTTTACTTTCACAGTACCTCTCTCTAAGTAGGTGTCTGAATCGGTGCCAAAGAACTACTGTGGCAACCTGCCAGACTTGCGCCGATGGACTAGCACTCCATCCGGGCGAGTAGCGGTACTCCTAGCCGCTTCACGCTACAGAAACGAGACATACGCAGCGAGAGTTATGAGTCGCGTGGACTTTTCGTTTTGTTTTGTTTGGTAGGGGAACTAGTGAGATTTGAAAGATATTTCCCTATTGTACATTACCCACTCCTCTCTACGTTTGAACTTCATTGATCATGGCTGTGTACGTGAATGAGTGTTTAATGGCGAATTACCGCTTGACCCCCATGAAGTCATGTGAAAAAGTATCAAACAACAACTTTATTATGACTCGCATGTTTACAATTTTACAGAAATGTATACACATAAAGTTAAAAAAAAAAAGCTTGACAATAGCAACAGCGCGAATCCGCAGGTAGCCTGGGCTAATCTTGGCGGGCCACATCTATATTTATATTAGACCATTAATACATAAATAAGATTGTTATGCAACTACTTATAGAAGGATTTACAAAGCAGAACCGGCAATTAACCTTTTTTGTCTGTATTGTATTTTAGTGGCTGAAGCTTGAAGAGGCATTTGAACAAGAAAGATCACTAAGATACTCTGCGGCCCAGAGAGGAGGAGTGTTGGGTCTTCTGCTACACGAGACGATCTCTCACGAATAACAAATTTTCCGGCGAAGTTACTAAACATTTTTCAGTACTTTGTACAAATAAAATAACTTATTAATAAAACCTTTGAACAATTTATAACTCATAGGCTTTGCTTTAATTAACATTTTTGTGCCTGGAAAACAGCCAAAATAGTCGGGGAAATTAGTGACGTTTTGGCAAATCTTCTTTGGAGCTCTCGTGCCGTTAAAGGATTTTCATTTCCGATCAAAATCTAGCACGGGCGCTCACGAGTGTTCCACAGATTGTCACGTGACCATAACGGAAAAATTGATCCTCTTAATTATCTCCCCGCCCCC